AACGTCAGTAAACTTACACAGTTATCAAGTACAAAATACCAAACGTCAGAAAAACTTACAAAATTACCAACTACAAAATACCAGAAGTCAGTACAACTTAGAAAGTTACGAAATACACAATGCCAAACGTCAGTGCAACTTACAAAGTTGCCAAATACAAAATACCAAACGTCAGTACAACCTACAAAGTTATCAAATACAGAATACCAAGGATCAGTACAACTTATAAAGCCACCAAATATAAATTACCTAACGTCAGTACAACTTAATAAGTTACCAAATTAAAAATACCAAACGTCAGTACAACTTACAAAGTTAACAAATACTAAATACAAAACGTCAGTAAACTTACACAGTTATCAAGTACAAAATACCAAACGTCAGAACAACTTACAAAATTACCAACTATAAAATACCAAAAGTCAGTTCAACTTACAAAGTTATCAAATGCAGAATACTAGAAGTCAGCACAGCTTAGATAGTTACGAAATACACAATGCAAAAGGTCAGTACAACTTACAATCTTTCCAAATACAAAATACCAAACGTCAGTACAACTTACAAAGTTACCAAGTACAAAATACCAATCGTCATTACAACTGAAAATATGAAACTGATGTATCTTCACTCTACACTATTAATTTACCATTTATGTCAAAATAAAATACCAAAATTCAAAACAATTTATAAAATTACCTAATAGAAAGTAGGTTTAAACTTTTCTAGTTTAAACGTACTGTATTAGTTCATCATGTTGGACATTTGTTATCCAACTGAGAACTGATATACCGAGAAACTACAGTACTAATTGGTTATATATGTTGAGAACTGATATAGCTTGATACTACAATATTAATTGATCATGTATGACATTTGATTAATTAATATGAGAACTGTTATTGTTTGAATATACAGCATTAGTTCATCATATATATTTTCTATCCAATAGGGGAACTGATAAAGCTTCAAACTACAGTGTTGATGATCATGTATGACATTCATCTAATATCAAAACTTATGGAGCTTCACCCTACACCATTAGTTGATCGATTATGTGATTTGATATCTGAGAGCTGATCAAGCTTAAACCTCTATGACATTTTTTATATTAGATAAAAAGCCTTGAGGCTACTATATTAGTTGATCATGTATGAATTTTTTTTTATCTAATATAAGAACTGGTATAGCTTGAAACAACGCTATTAGTGTATCATGTATGATATTTATCATCTAATATAGAACTGTCATAGCTTGATACTATAGTATTAGTTAATCATGTATGACATTTGCTATCTAATATTAGAACTGATATAGCTTGATACTACAGATTAGTTCATCATGTATGGCATTTGTTATCTAATATGAGAACTGATCTAGCTTGAACCTACAGGATTTTGATCGTGTATGACATCTGCTATCTAATATTAGAACTGACATAGTTTTATACTACAGTATTAGTTCATCATGTATGGCATTTGTTATCTAACAGAAGGAGTAATATAGTTTGAAATTATAGAATTAGTTCACCCTTTTGCTCTAATGTGAGAACTGATATGCTTTGAAACTATAATATTAGTTCATCAGTTACACTTTTTATCTAATGTGAGAACTGACTTAGCTTGAAACTACAGTATTAAGTCATTATATATGATTTTTGTTATCTATTATGAGAATTTATATAGTTTGAAACTACACTATTACTTCATCAAATATTTCATTTTCATCTAATATAAGAATTAATATAGCTTGAAACTACAGTATTAGTTCATTATGTATGACATTTGTTATTTAATATGAGAACTGATATAGCTTCATCCTACACTATTAGTTGGTCAATTATGTGAATTGGTAGCTGACTACTAATCTAACTTGAACCCTCAGTATTAGTTGATCATGTGTGACTTTCATCTAATATGAAACTGACATAGCTTCACCATACACTATTATTTGATCAAATATTTCATTTTTTATCTAATTTGAGATTTGATATAGCATAAAACTACAGTACTAGTTGATCATGTATGTCATTTATCATTGAATATGAGAACTTATATTGTTTGAAACTACAGAATTAGTTCATCATCTATGGCATTTTTTATCTGATATGAGAAGTGACATAGCTTAAAACTACGGTATTAGTTCATTATGTATGACATTTGTTATCTAATACGAAAATTGATATAGTTTAATGCTACACTATCAGTTGATCCTCTATGACATTTGTTATCTAATATAAGAACTGATATAGATTAAAACTACATTATTAGTTCATTATGTATGACATTTGTTGTCTAATATGAAAATTGATCTAGCTTGATTCTACAGTATTAATCAATCATGTTTGACGTTCCTTATCAAATCTGAGAACTGATATAGCTTGAAACTAGACTATTAGCAGCTCGTTTATAACATTTGTCATTGAATATAAGAACGTATATAGCTTCATACTACAGTATTAGTTGATCATGTATGACATTCATCTAATATCTGAAATGATATATCTTCACCCTACACTATTAGTTGATCATTTATGTGATTTTGTATTTCAGAACTGATCTGACTTGAAACTACACTATTAGTTGATCATGTATGACATTTGTTCTTTAATATGATAACTGATATAGCTTGATACTACAGTATTAGTTGATTATGTATGGCATTTGTTATCTAATATGAGAACTGATATTGATTGAAACTACAGTTTTATATTACCAAGTGTGACATTTCTCAACTAATATGAATACTGATATAACTTGAAGATATAGTTTTAGTTGATCATGTGTGACATTTGTTATCTAATATAAGAACTGATATTGATTGAAACTACAGTTTTATATTACCAAGTGTGACATTTCTCAACTAATATGAATACTGATATAACTTGAAGATATAGTTTTAGTTGATCATGTGTGACACTTGTTATCTAATATGAACAAATATGTTCTATGTTTCAAGCATTTAACAAAAGTCACTTCAAGAAATCCAACTTAATTTATTTTATTGACTCCAAAAATCAAAGAAAAATGTATGTCGTTATTATATATCCGTATTTACACATGTTTAAAATTGTTTTTTTCGAATCTCATAAGCATAACAAGGAAAAGTACTATACACTGTATAATGTAGGTTATGCACAAATAATGTGCTTTTAATCATTATTTTTACTAACTTTATCTATAATAGATTTATTATGAGTACAAGTAATGCAAAATTAATCTGGATTTTTAACAAAATGGATAATTTTCCCTACATGTATTTAGTATTGATAATTCCAGAACTCTGCCAAGTAATGATAAGCTCTAACTTGTGCATTTTTAAAACTAATATTCACACATTACAACAAATAACAATTAATTATAAATAAACTGTTATTACAACCTCATCTTACTAAGTTATTTCCAGACACTTCACCTCCTTAAATTTAACAACAGCATCTCCTTAATGTTTGACAATAAAATCATGTACTTATTAAACTCTTATCAAAATATTCTCTTACTAAGTTATTTCCAGACACTTCACCTCCTTAAATTTAACAACAGCATCTGCTTAATGTTTGACAATAAAATCATGTACTTATTAAACTCTTATCAAAATATTCTCTTACTAAGCTATGTCCAGACACCTCACCTTCTAACTCTTAAAGTCTGTCCAAAATTGTCATGTTATCAAAATCTATTTACTCAATCCATTTTCCTAAACTTTGTTTATAAATTACTATCTTTTTAAAGTACATCCTCACTGTCGATGTTTTTCTTACAACTTGTCCATAATTTCTATTTTCTTTAACTTTTTTTTACAAACTATATACTCAACACTTCCCACGCTCAGCCCAGAAAATTCTTTCTTTTCATGTTATACCTACTAAGCCTCATTATCCTGAACTCCATGACCAACCCTGTTATTTTTTAAATCATCCCAAGGTATTCAATTTTTCAAATATGTCCACACTACTATATTATTTTATACTCTCTCGTAAACAACATCCCATTTGTAAATTCTATCTACAATACTCTGTTTTAAACTCTGTCTACTAAACTTCGCTTTCTTTATTCTTGTCAAGACATCCTTGTTTCTCAATCTCTGTCGTTAGCAACACTAACTTACCAATTATGCTCCTAATATCCTTTTTCCTAAAATCTGTCCACAGTACTCATTAAAACTCCGCCTACAAATACCTTTTCTACTTGAGCGTTGATCACATCACTTGTTCTTTTCATGTTCTTGACAAAACTTCATTTTAAACTCTGCTCGTAATCTTTTTCTTTTTTAATTGAATCAACAATACCCGTTATTTTCAGGCTGTGTGTAACATTATTTTTTCTGAATTTCTACACAAAATATTCCATCCCTATATATTATTTCCACAATACTGTTGTTATTGTGAATTCTACTTTTTTTTTTCTTAGATTGTATATGCTATCCCTTTCTGCTCACAATACTCTTTTTGTTTTAATTAAATTTATTGCTTTTCACCTACAGGATCAATTTCACAAGCCCCTTTCTAAAAGCTAAAATTCACTGTTTGTGGGCTCATAATCTTAATCATGTAAGATAGTATACCACAAAAAACTAAATGGAGAATGATCTTATGTGACTTGCTGGTATAATGATTACTCATTACTAGGAAAGAACGTTATAGAAACTGGGAAGTCAGATTGAAATATTCATAAAATATATTTTGGAAACACTAGCAGTAATTAAAACTGTAGAAATGTAACACATGTAAATTGGATAATTACAATGACTTTCAGTCTTCCTGGGAACGTTCATCTCACGTCACTAAGTTTTTGAAACTATAAGGTTGAAAGAAACAAGCTTCATTTTGTGTAAACTGCTCTACGCTTGAAACAATATTGTATCAACATTGTTTTATCATATAAACAAATTACTGTTAAGGCGTTTTAATGTAAACTGCTCTACATTTGAAACAATATTGTATCAACATTGCTTTATCATATAAACAAATTAAAGTTATGGCGTTTTCTGTAAACTGCTCTAAACTTAAAACAATATTCATCTATCATATAAACAAATTAATGTTAAGGCGTTTTGAGTATTTCAACTGTTTTGATCATAAAAACAAACACAAAATTGCTATGGGAACAGATTCAGCACCCGATTATCTCCTTTTTTTAACTACGATAACAAGTCCAGAAATTGACTACCTCCTTTTCTTTTTAACGTAACTACCGCAAAAGATCCAGCAACCGGCTATTTTCCTTCTCTATCTAACTACAGGAACAGATCCAGAAACCAACTATCTACATTCTTTATACAAATACCGCAAAAGATCCAGCAAACGGCTATTTCCATTCTTTATACAACTACGGGAACAGATCTAGGAACCAATTGTCTCCTTTCTTTATCTAACTAAGGGAACAGATCCAGAAACCAACTATCTACATTATTTATACAAACACCGCAAAAGATCCAGCAAACTGATATTTCCATTCTTTATCTAACTAAGGGAACAGATCCAAGAACCAACTGTCTCCTTTCTTTATCTAACTAAGGGAAGAGATCCAGAAACCAACTGTCTCCTTTCTTTATCTAACTAAGGGAACAGATCCAAGAACCAACTGTCTCTTTTCTTTATCTAACTAAGGGAACAGATCCAGTAACCAACTATCTCCTTTCTTTATACAACTACCGCAAAAGTTCCAGCAACCGGCTATTTCCATTCTTTATACAACTACGGGAACAGATCTAGGAACCGACTGTCTCCTTTCTTTATCTAACTAACGGGAACAGATCTAGAACCAACTATCTCCATTTTTTATCTAACTAAGGGAACAGATTTAGGAATCAACTGGCTCCTTTCTTTATCTAACTAAGGGAACAGATTCAGGAACCAACTATCTCCTTTCTTTATCTAACTAAGGTAACAGATCCAGGAACCAACTATTTCCTTTCTTTATCTAACTAAGGTAACAGATCCAGGAACCAACTATCTCCTTTCTTTATCTAACTAAGGGAACAGATTTAGGAATCAACTGTCTCCTTTTTTATCTAACTAAGGTAACAGATCCAGGAACCAACTATCTCCTTTCTTTATCTAATTACGGGAACGGATCCAGGAACCAACTATCTCCATTTTTTATCTAACTAAGGGAACGGATCCAGGAACCAACTATCTCCTTTCTTTATCTAACTAAGGGAACAGATTCAGGAACCAACTATCCCCTTTCTTTATCTAATTACGGGAACGGATCCAGGAACCAACTATCTCTTTTCTTTATCTAACTAAGGGATCAGATCTAGGAACCAACTATCTCCTTTCTTTATCTAACTAAGGGAAGAGATCCAGGAACCAACTATCTCCTTTCTTTATCTAATTACGGGAACGGATCCAGGAACCAACTATCTCCATTTTTTATCTAACTAAGGGATCAGATCCAGGAACCAACTATTTCCTTTCTTTATCTAATTACGGGAACAGATCCAAGAGCCAACTATCTCCATTCTTCTTCTTTTTTCCTTTTTTTTACTACCACAATAGATCCAGGAACTGTGAGATTGCTTTGTGGGCACATCCTTAGTTCAAAGTCCTGTTTCACTGTTGTAACATCTTGGAATGTTGAGATTCAGACCCTCGGAATCTGCCCTTTCTTCATTCTGGTCTTCATCTTCAATGCTCAGTTCATATGTAAAATCATTATCATCAAAGCATTCTGGATCATAGTTAGGCAGCGCCAGTGGAACTTGAGAGTCTGTGTGTTTCGGACTACGGGTCTCCATGCGGTGCACCTGTAACTTGGGTCCCCAGTTTTCCGTCGGCTGAATTAGTATCTTTATACGCTTTAAAATAAGATATTAATAAATACTACTTAAAAAAGTGGATATAAAAGTTTTTCTATAGAATATTTCTTCACTGTTAATAACAAATATGAAATAGGAAAAAACGTGTGAATTATAATTCCTTTCTTCAAAACAAAACGCTAGATTTACAAACACCACCAAAAATAACATAGAAACTTTTAAACATTTTTCCAAATAATAATATTACAGACAATTCTTAGTCCCCACCAACAATAATATAGAAACCTTTAAAGTTTCTATAAAATAATAGTTGTTACTCAAACAAGTTCACTTACTAAACACTATGTACTGGTTACATAAGAATAACTTAGGGTGTAGTAGTCAAAAATACATGAATATTATATAAAATCACTGCTTTATTGACGAAGACATACTTATCTCCAACATAACACATATATAATATAATCTTAAAATAATTTCAGCAATGTTCTTCCTTAAAGAAGAAAATATATAACTAGGACTTTGTTGGAGTTAATGAAAAAAATATACATTTTACTTAACAAAACCAAACTTAACAACGTTCTTACCACAAGAACAGGTCCTTCAGCTCTACAGATCTTAAAACCAGCCACGAGAGGAATGACCGACACTGAAAACATGGACAAAGCCCAACCAACACCTGTCGCCCAGTCTGGATATATGTAATCGCCATATTGAGTTGGGTGGATATCAACCCAAGAAAATATTAGAATAGCCTAAGAAAATGATACGTTTAAATCAATATTATTAGATGGAAGCGTTTCGCAGTAGTACATTTTATTCTATTTAATCAGGAAAACCATCAGATGTAAAAATGAGTCTAGTTTTAATAAATTCTCAAAATAAAAGTCGATGTAAAACTCACTCTATGAGCACAAAAATGGTTATATAAGATATGCGTTAGTACATTTGAATAGACTTTTGTTTTTAAAACCTTTTGCACCATACTTATTTCCTCACATTTACCAATTCGACAATATTCTTGTTACAAATCATCAGTTCATTAATATAGCTAATTTTCACATCACTCTTTATTCTCCTGCACAAGAAAAGTCAACTATTTGAAAACGCTAAGGATTTATAAACAGATAGTCAACACTAATACGTGGTCTACGACAGGAACTTAACCAGAGGTTACGAACAGAACAAGTTAAGGTCCTTTCCTAGACCACATAGTAGCGTTGACCAGTTGTTTATAAGTCCCATATTTTGTTTATAATCATTGTTTACGCTCTTTCTCCAACTTTAAAATTCTTTCAACAGCCAAACATGATACTGATCTTCTAATAAAAGAAACATTATACATTAAACTCTTCTCCCGTCCCTAAATAACACACAGTCTTCACTTGATTTAAACATATTATAATTTAACTATTTCATTTGTGCCACATTTTTTATTTTCTCGTGTTATATTTGTATATTCAAATTGTTTGTTTATATATATATATTTCTGTTGTAATTACAAATATTGTTTGTTTGTTTTGTACCTCTAGATTACTGATGATGGAATTATGATGATTCCGAAACGTTTAATAAATGCTTCCTATTATCACGTTCGTGTTTTCTTTATCATTAAGTTTAGTTTTCCAAAAATGAGTCGTTTGTGAGAAGTTTTACTGTGGTCGTTTTGTTTTTGAATTTTGTGCAAAGCTACACGAGGGCTATCTGCGCTAGCCGTCCCTAATTTAGCAGTGTAAGACTAAGGAGAAGGCAGCTAGTCATCACCACCCACCGACAACTCTTGGGCTACTCGTTTACCAACGAATAGTGGGATTGACCGTCACATAATAAGGACCTCACGGCTGAAAGGGCGAGCATGTTTGATGGGACGGGAATTCGAACTCGCGACCAACAGATTGCGAGTCGAGCGCCCTTAACCACCTGGCCCTGCCGGGCCACTACTGTGGTTGACCTGTCATCATTCTCCGTAAAGACATCATAACACTGGAAACCGTAAGGCCACCGGAATATCTCAATAGAATTAATGAAACAGAAGTGTTTCCTTACAATGATAGAGAATGGAGTCACGAACTTCCATATAAACCTCCAGTACTGGTAGTGGTACGGGTAGTGACCAAGCATCACTCTGACGTCATCAAGGAAGCGTTCGATACCTTTAGAAACAAAAATAATTTAATGACAACTAGATGCGTTGGTGTTCAAGCTTTGAAATTTCTTATTGTTTAGTTTCAATGTAAGTCAAAGCTGATTTAGTTAGTGTTGCCTGTAAGCAATTAACAGTGAGCTTCGTAACTTCGAACTTATTGTCACGTTTTCGACAGTTTCCAGCAGAAACAGAAATACAGACATTATTGATGTGTTTACTTATATTGAGCTGCCAGTTTAAAATGTATCCTGAAACCAATAAGCTTACTATACAACCAGCCAATCACGATAGCTTATTATACAACTAGCCAATCACAATAGGCTTACCATACAACCAGTCAATCACAATAATCTTACCATACAACCAGCCAATCACAATTATTTCGATGAAACCAATGGAAAGAGCAGAAAAACTTGCACAATAGTTGTCGAGTAGTTGAAGTACGTACATACCACCCTATGAAAATAAAAACGATGAATCTCAAACTTTAACTTAAATCAAATTACTCATATATAAAATTATATAACTGATGTCAGATCAAACAATATACAAAATATTCAATTTCTCCAAATATTAAGCGAACTTGAATTTTCATTTGGTTTCTAAAACTAAATCAACTTTTCAAAAAAGAAAGAAATAACGAACCTCGGTGCAGATTATTAATCCGATTAAAAACATGACAGAGCATATCAGTCCCAGAACATAAGGCTTCTTACGTCTAAGTCTGTATGGCCAAGTGTCCACAACCGTTGTCACAACAGTCTCAATCAAGGTAAACTATTTAGAGAAAGAATTAGAAATCTGAAAATAAACTTTAGGTTTAAGAGCTTGAACCGAACAAAAATGGAGAACAAGAAAGATATGTGAGTTTGATAGAAAGTTTATCAAAAAACCAGAAGATAAGAAGAAAATATCTCACTTCAATCAACACTACTGATGTATCAGAAGACAATTTTCCTTAGAAAATATCAATAAACTCTTACGAGAGTTAAGTAAAATATATCGTTTTTATGTGGATGTAATGACTGTTTTCAAACATGGATAAATGAAAGTAAACAAATCAACTTCATATTTAGATCACGTATTTATAAGTTTGTTTGCTCTACCCACCATGCAGACACACCGCTGTGCCACTGAGATGCCGTATTTATAAGACAAATTAGAAAATAAAATTTATATGAAGCAATTAAAAATATAACAATAACAAGTCATTACTGTATAGAATCAAAAGTAAATATTTATGGAAATCAAAAAGTAATTATTAAACATTATAACAAAACTTAAGTAAAATACATTTGGAATATATATATATATATATATAATGCAATAATGAAATATTTATGGAAATATTAATTAAAGAAACGAAAAACTCAATTCAATATATAAGTTGTTATACAACAAATCAATTGACAAAACGAGAAGTATAATACCAGAAAAATATCCCTTTGATAAATATCATGAATGTAGCTTTAAAGATTATAAAGATAAACATAAATAGTATAAAAAAACATTTATAAAATGTAACAAAACAATGTAATTTTATTAATAGGCGAATTGATAAAGAAAATAAGGGGAATAATATAACCTGATTTTCACAGGGTGACAGACGAAATGAAAATGAAATAATAAGAAATTGAGCAAATACATTTGTTAATAACAGAAATAATTATAAAACAAATTGGTAATGAACCATGTCAAACATTTAATAGAGAAAGAAACGGTAATTTCATGTTCCTTTTCTCTTCTTTTCTCACACAAACTATTTGAGTCCTTAAATAATGATAAGAAAACAACGAGTTTGTATATAGAGTAGGCATTTAATACAGTATAATATCTAATATTTAGATAAAATGAAAATTCTACTGATATGAGGCATTGCACTAAAATGGTTTAATTTTTACTTATATAAAAATAACTTTACTGATAAAAATATAACAAACCGTGACAATGATCTGTACTAGAACAAGAGAATAATGAAGATTTCAATCAGTTACTCACATTTTTCCAATTCAAGCGAAAGCGATCTTCATATATTACTAACTACTGAGTACGTTATATAGCTTTTCTATGCTAGTGCTGACGAAACTTACCTGCGTACCCATCCCTAGGGTCATCAGCATAAAGAAAAACAGGAACGACCATAACGGGGACACAGGGAGACGAGCTACTGCTTCTGGGTAAGCAATGAATGCCAGACCAGCACCTACAACAGAAACATCTATAATTTTACATTTATATCTTCAATATACTACTGAAGATTGGTCACTATCCACGGTAAAAATCTGCATACCCTCGGCTAGGTCTTGGCCATCCTCCTTGTGGTGACTACACATAATGAAAGCACTAGCCTTCTGGTTGCGATGTTGTAATTCACAGGGCAATTAGTTCCTAATCATGACTACTTTTGGAAGGGTCAGATTTTGGGACTTTCTAAAGTGTAATTCTCCTCTTCAGTGATTATGAAAATGCACAAAAATATATGGCATTTTGAAATACCTCATATCTGTATTCTTGAACCGTATTGGTTAAGCAAGGGAGAGAATGGCTCCGACATAGTAAATACTGAGTATCTCCTAATGATTGCAATGATCATCATTTACTTGTTTGCTTATAGTCATGTGTATAGACATGTGTCATTAAAACGTCATGGAAACAGTTATTTATAAACAGAACTGATTCTACCTTGTGCAGCCACTTCAGATACTGGAACTTCCAATTCGTGAGCCATGAAACCAACAATACTAAAGATGACAAAACCGGCGAAAAAGCTGGTTCCACAATTTCCAAAGGTGATGATCAATGAGTCCCTAAAATAAAAGCACTATCTGTAATACCTAGTTTTAAAGTTGAACTACTTAACAATAAATGAAAGGAGCATTCTTGTTGTTATGGCCTGAGAAGGATGTTAGATTGTAGCCTTTTAATCACCAGTAATAGCCTGAAAAAGATTCGGTATTTGAATAACATCTACCTCCCCAAATCAAATTACTTCCCCTTCCCCTACATTACATTTACCTTTCCTACATCATATTTACTTACAGTACATGACATTCAATTCCCCTACATCAAGTTTACCTCTCCTACATCACATTTACTTTCTTCATGTCATAGTTACTTCTCCTACATCACTTTACCTCCATTAAATCACATTTACTTCTCCTACAACACATTTACCTCTTCTACTATACATTCACTTCCCCTACATGACATTTACCTGTCCTATATAACATTTACCTCCCCTACGTCACATTCATCTACCCTACATCACATTTTCTTCCCCTCCATCATATTTACCTCTTATAGATGACATTTACCTCCCTTACAGTTCCTATACTTCTCCTACATTATATTTTCCTTTTCCACATGACATTTACCTCCCCTACATCACATTTTCTTCCCCTCCATCATATTTACCTCTCATAGATGACATTTACTTCCCTTATAGTTCCTATACTTCTCCTACATTATATTTTCCTTTTCCACATGACATTTACCTCCCCTACATCACATTTCCTCTCTTACATGACACTTAGCTCCCCTGAATCACATTACCTCCCCTACATACCTCATATTCAACTCCACTACATGATATTTAACTCCCCTACATCCCATTACCTCTACGACATCACATTTACTTCCCCTATATCACATTTACCTCTCTACATCAGATTTTCCACTCCTACTTGACACTTATGTCCCTTAATTCAGATTTACCTCTCCTATATCACGTTTACCTCCCTTCATGACATTTACCTCCCCTAAATACCAGTTACTTCTAATATATAACATTTACCTCTCCAACATCACATTTACCTCTGCTATATAATATTCACCTCTCTTATATCCCATTTATCTATCCTTACTCACATTTACTTCCCCTACATCACATTTACTCTATATTCCCTTACACCACATTTAACTCCCTACATTACATTTACCTCTCCTACATGACACTTACGTCCCCTAAATCATATTTACTTCCCCTACATATCATTGACCTCTACTATATCACATTTACCTCTACTACATTACATTAACTTTTCCTACATCACATTTACTTCT